AGAAGTTCAAGGTCATCCTCAGCTATGTGGAAAGGGGAGAGGCTACATACAGCAAGGCCAGTGGTATTTAAAGAATACTTTTAATGATTGTTAACCTGTTTTCAGCAAGACATGGTGGCACACACCCTTAATCCCAGCACTTGGGAGGCAGAGTCAGGTGGATCTCTCTGAGTTGAGGGCCAGCCTGGTTTACACAGCGAGTTCCAGGGCAGCCTGGGCTACATAGTGAGACCCTGTCTCAACAAGCCACAGATTGATTAATTCAGGGGTTAGAGAGATGGCTCAGCAGTTAAGAATAATACTGTTCCTGCTGAAGACCCAGGTTCGGTTCCCAACACCCAAATCAGATGGTTCACAATCTCCTGTAACTCCAGTTGCAGGGGCTCCTCTTCTGTGCTATTCAGGCACCTGCACTCATGTGGCACATACAGACTCAGAAAGGCACACGTGTGTACACAAAGAATAAGTTTAAATTTTTTTTATTTATGATGCAATGGCTATTCTTGTCAACTTAAGTGAACTACAATTCAGAAATGGCAGGCACACTTATGAAAGACTTTTTTGCTCAGTTTAAAGTAGGTGAATCCACTTCTAGTCTGGACCTTTGAGGTAGGAAGACACACATCTTTGATCAGGATCTTGAAGGGGGAAGACACACCTTTAATCTGGGTCACACCTTCTGCTGTAAGCCTATATAAGGACATGGAAGAAGGAAGCTCTTGCTCTTGGCCCGCTTGCTCTCGCCTTGCAGGCACATCCATCCCTTCACTGGCATTGGAACCTACTTCTTCAGGACTTCAGCATATACAGAAGACCAGCTGAGACATCCAGCCTTGTGGGGCTAAGCAACTACTAGACTCTTGGACTTTCCCTTCACAACTAGTCATTGTTGGATTAGCTGGACTGCAGCCTGTAAATCATTCCGATAATCCCTTTTCACATATGGAGCGATTCGTTCCATAAGTTCTGTGACTCTAGAGAACCCTGACTAATTCATATATGTATAGGTGTTCTGTCTGCATGTATGTCTATGCACCACACGGTGCCCTCGGAGGCCCTAGAACGGGAGTTACAGTTGTAACTCACTGTGTAGGTGCTGAGAATTCAATCAGGTACTCTGAAAAAGCAGCCAGTTCCCTTAAGCATTGAGCTATCTCTCCAAACCCTAATAAAAATAGTTTCTTTTTGGAGACAGAGTCTCTCTATGTACCCTGACCATCCTAGAACTGGCTACATAGACCAGGCTAGACCTGCCTGCCCCTGCCTCAGTCTCCTTAGTGTTGGGATTAACGGCATGGACCACTACTGCTGATATCCCTAAATAAATCTTATAAAAAATGCCAGATGGGGTGGTGCACACCTTTAGTCCCAGCATTCAGGAGGCAGAGGCAGGTGCATCTACATGTATTCGAGGACAGCCTGGTCTACAGAGTGAGTTCCAGAACAGCCAGGGCTACAGAGAGAAACCTTGTCAAAAACAAAAAACAAAACAACAACAACAACAAAACTCTTTTTCAGTTGGACACCCAGCAGCCTGTTGGTTTCTACCTCAGAAGAGAAGTCTGTAGATTCTGGCTTTAGTCTTGGCTCATAGCCTTTTAATTAAACTAATCCATTTTTTTCTAGAAAGCATTTCCATTCCAAATTAGACATTAAGACTATTGCCAAATGTTTACTTTATGCATTAATAATACTGAAGGAAAAAACAGGGTGTTTAATTTCTGTGAATAAAGCATTAATGACAGTGTGTAAGGATTTCTTCTTTCTGATCTCAACACTTCCAAATTTCTGCATGTAATAAGAACACCTTATACATGGGAATGAAGTTTAAGAAAAAAAAATTCAGGAGTAGAGAGATGGCTCAGTGGATAAAATATTTGTCACCCAAACCTGAGGACCTGAGTTTGGAGCTAGGCACAGGGTCATGCACTATGGTGGTATTTTATTTGTACTGAAATGTGATTTTAATTGTATGTTAATAAATAAAGTTGCCCAGGGGTCAGAGCTAATAGCAAGCCATAGCAGAGCTGGGCGTTTGTGGTGCACGCCTTTAATCCCAGCACTTGGTAGGCAGAGCTAGGTAGATTTCTGTGTGTTCAAGGATACAGCCAGCATACATTGGAGACATATGCTCCAACATGTGTCTGGAGGTCTGTACAGACAGGCAGTGACGAGGCAGTCATGTGGTTGGGTTTGCAACCAATAAGAAGGCAGAACAGAAAGTCTATATAAAGACAAACAGACAGAAAGTAGCTCTCTTTCGGAGAGGTCTCTTGGCTGAAGAGATAGCTGCAGCAGGTGGGTAAGGCTCTTAGCTCTGATCTCTTGGCTTTCTTCTTTTGCATTGGTTCTGTGTTTCTTATTTAATAAGACAGTCGGTTACATCTACAAATGGCACCCAATGTGGGGCAAGAGTTTCCACCTAAAACCTGAGAAAAAAGATTCTAAAACGGAGCTAAAAACAGTTCCTAGTTGTCTCTTTCAAGTTAGCGGCAGCCTGCATGTTTGAGCTACTGGCAGGTTCCTGGCATGTGCGCTCAACCTGTAGTATGACGGGAATGAGGCCTCTGCAAGTGGCACATTAAGCTGTGTGGTGGATTTAGCCTTTGCTAGTACAAAACAAAAAAAGAGGTTTCTGGGCTACACGCTGCTTTGATAAAAGCATAGACCCAAGATGGCTCCCAGAGCTGGCGGAAAACATACCACCGCCATGTTGGGAAGCTGAAGTGGGTGAAGCCAGCAGCCACAGTGCCATTTCAGTCTTAGAAAGCTGCGGTTTAAAGCAATAGGCTCAAGGTAATATGAAAAATAAGCCACGTAAAGATGGCTACCACACAGAGAATCTGGATTATGTTCTCTTTGATATTCGTAACCGAAGAAAAACATTTGATTGCAAAAGCTGTTGAGTTATGCTAAAATGTATATTTTAAAGGTACCTTGACTTCAAAATTTGGATATAAGGATATGTTGCTTTGGAAAAGAGTCTCTGCTTTTGTTTCTACAGAAAGCCAGAGGCTATGGATTTGTTCCAGATTAAGATACATCAGGTTTGCCGGGCGGTGGTGGCGCACGCCTTTAATCCCAGCACTTGGGAGGCAGAGCCAGGCGGATCTCTGTGAGTTCGAGGCCAGCCTGGGCTACCAAGTGAGTTCCAGGAAAAGGCGCAAAGCTACACAGAGAAACCCTGTCTCGAAAAACCAAAAAAAAAAAAGAAGAAAAACAAAAAAGATACATCAGGTTTGACCAGCCAAGACCCCCTGAAAGGTCTCTGATGACACCAAGGCCCAGATGATCCAACATCCAGAACCATTTCAAGGCAACTGGCTCAGATGATACAGCCTCATGAACTACCCCATAATCCTAAAATTTTCTTTGTGTCCCCATAAGATACAGCGCCCCCCTCCAGCAGGAAGTAGTAAGAGAAGCTACACCCAAATTCCCAAATATACCAAGCTGGCTTTGGAGATGTGTAAAAGTTAAAACCTTTCTCTTTAAAAAAAAAAAAAAGAAAAAGAAAAGGGGAAGTGCTGTGGGATGGTCTGTATGTCAAATTGCTCTAATTGGTCAATAAATAAAATACTGATTGGCCAGTGGCCAAGGCAGGAAGTATAGGCGGGACTAACAGAGAGGAGAATTGAGAGAACAGGAAGGTGGAGGGAGTCACTGCCAGCCGCTACCATGACAAGCAGCATGTGAAGACGCTGGTAAGCCACAAGCCATGTGGCAAGGTATTTATAGAAATGGATTAATTTAAGTTATAAGAACAGTTAGCAAGAAGCCTGCCATGGCCATACAGTTTGTAACCAATGTAAGTCTCTGTGTTTACTTTGTTGGGTCTGAGCGGCTGTGGGACTGGCGGGTGACAGAGATTTGTCCTGACTGTGGGCCAGGCCAGAAAACTCTAGCTACAATGCACCTTTTTTTTTTTTTCCTAAAACACGAACATCAAAGACTTTATGAGCTTTACCTTGACAAACTTTGGACTTGGCGAACCTGTGGTCTCATGTGTTCAGTTCTCCCTTGGTCTTTGGAGGCAGGGTCTCATGCAGCCAAGGCTGGCCTGGAAGAAACTCCTGACCCTCCTGCCTCCATCTGGGATGTTAGGGGGCGCCACTGTGCCTGGCTTATGAGGTGCTGGGGATGAAACCCAGGGCCTTGAGCATGCTAGGTGACGGACATGCACCTTTAACTCTGGCACTAAAGGACAGATGCCAGTGGATCACCAGGGTTCACTGGCCAGTCAATCTAACCAAAACATCAGACTTCCCCTGTCCCAAAACACATAGTGGAGAGCAATAAAGGAAGACATCTGATGTCAGCCTCTGGCATCCACACATCCACTCATGGCACAGTCCAGCCACACGTATGTACACTCAGGTGCAGGAGCACACACACATTAAAAAAAAAAAAAACTGCATCAACAAGATGGCCAGCAGGTATTTGCTGTCAAGCCTGACCCAAAAAAGAAAATGAGAACTATAGAGATGGTTCAGTGGCTAAGAGCACAAACTACTCTTGTGAAGGACCCAAGTTCAGGTCCCAGTATCCAGATGGAACACAGTTCCCACCTCCTGTAACTCCAGAAAATCTGACAGCCTCTTCTGGACTCCCCCCCCCCCCCCGCCACCCCCCCCCCCACACAATTTAAAAATAAAATCTTAAAAGAAAAAAATAAAATGATCAGAGAGGGCCTTTGTGTAAACCAGTATTTTCAATCTGGGAAGCTAAGTGAAGCCATACCTGAATGGTACTTGGATGGGAGACTTATGACCTCCACAGTTATCAACAATGGCTATCATTGCCAACCTTGGTGTGTGGCATATGTCCAGCCCCTTACCCTCATTGTGACTGGAGAATGCTCACTTGACATTTGTACTACCAGTTGGGGCACCCCACACTCTCTGGGGACCTTCTAGGGTCTGTGCAGACTTTAGCCTAGTATGGACACACACACACACACACACACACACACACACACACACACACACACACACACGTCGACAGCTCACAAATAAAGACACTTTGTGGCACCCCCTGTCACACCCTGCATTTCAGACCAAGATCTGGCTTCCAAGATGTACAGTTCCCTGCTGCTCCAGGGCAAAGATGAGACAAGCCAGAAATTGAGGCTTTAATAGCAAATCCAGCCATCAGTATCTTTTCCTGTGTAAAATACAGAACGAAGGACATTATGGCCCTATTTGCATATTTTTCTCCTCCTGGAAGGAAAAGCGTTTTCTGAGAAGGCAGTGAGATCTGTGCCTTTAGGACCGGGCACTTGTCAAGGATCAGGGGCAGCAGTGCTCCCTACAGCAGCACTGAGTCAGGAGACACCCCCGCCCCCCGGACGGGCAGCCAACTCCCTTAGTCACAGATGGATGGCCTGTTGACATTGTAACTGGGATGAAAGTTAAGGCGGTCATAGTGGGTGATGTAATTGTCAGGGCCTGTCACCACGCTCTTCTCCAAGCCGACATTAAAAGTATTATTCAGGAACATTCCAGAAGCTGAACATTCTCTGGAAAACTTATTTGAAGATGGATAAAATACAGTCTAGAAGTGAAAAGAAACAAGAGGATTAGTGGTGCGTGACAATACTCAAGCAGCTAGACTGTATTTTGGAAGAAGAGTAAGAATTTATGCGAAAATACAGCCTCTGTTACTAGGAAGCACAGAAACCTGAGTGGACAAGATGGCCTCTTTTGCCCCAGCCATCCCAATTTGTGCTTAATATGTCTACTATAAGTAGCAATGCCTTGTTTCCATACCGCATGGACAGCAAGAGAAGTTACAGGATCGCCTGTGAGCAACACCTCCACACCTAGGTGTGACAACAAGCATTAACCTGGGGTCAGGCCAGAGTGACACCCCCTCCTCCCCCCCCCACTAAGGTCTACTCTGCCAGCCCTGCCACACTGGGCAAGTCACATGGCCTCTGTAAGTTTCAGCCTTTTCTTCTATGAGTATAGTCACACTGCAATACTCAAATAAAATACTTAAAATGAACTTAGGAAGAAAAAAAGTTAGGGGGTGTGGTGGCCCATACCTTTAATCTCAGCAGTCAAGAGGCAGATCTCTGTGAGTTCAAGGCCAGCCTGGTCTATATAGAGAGTTTTAGGACAGTCATGACTATATAGAGAAACCTTGTCTCAAAGTGAGAGGAGAGAGAGAGAGAGAGAGAGAGAGAGAGAGAGAGAGAGAGAGAGAGAGAGAGAGAGAGAGAGAGAGAATATATATCTGGGCCTCACTCCTGGAGTTCCAGTCCCATGAAGGACAATGGACAATTCCGAGGCCTTGGCCCTCAGCTGGGGGTGCTGGGTAACAGTGGTCAAAGCAAACTGCTTGAATCAGGAGCCATGATGGAAGAGAGGGCTGGTTGGATCCCAGGATCCCTCTCAAGGGTGTACCTCCAATGCCCTGAAAACTCCCATAAAGTCCCACATCCCAGGAGCACACACTAGTAACCCTGCCTTTAACACACAGACCTTTGGGGTCACTCCTCCAAGCCATAGCAGTGGGTTTCTGTCCTGGCTGTGAGCCGAAACCCTCTGTAAAGTGCTTTAAAGACTCCAGAGCATGCACCACTGGCCCAGTGTAGGGGAAGGGGCTCCCCTTCAGAGGCCTGAAGCACTCAGCTCTTGATGAGAGTGTAGTGAGGCCACTGTGAGGAGAGGAACCAGAGTGAGAATCAGCCTAGCTAGACAGAATCGTTAGATGATAGGGAGATGTCTGACATGTGCAAACTAGCCTCCACCATGTAAAGAGAAACGATTTCAGAACATTTTTCTTCTTTCTTGTTCTCTCTTTCTTTCTTTCTTTCTTTTTTTTTTTGTTTGCTTTTTTGAGACAGGGTTTTTTTGTGTAGCCCTGGCTGTCCTGAAACTAGCTTTGTAGACCAGGCTAGCCTTGAACTCACAGAGATCCACCTGTCTCTGCCTCCCAAGTGCTGGGATTAAAGTTGTGTACCACCACCGCCCAGCTCAGAGCATTTTTCAAAAGGCAAGTTTGAGATCTCCAGGAAAACTGAACATAAAGTGTTCAGATCCCATCCCAATGTACACAGCTCCCCCATTGTTAGCACGCTGTATTGCAGGTGTACCTGCATCAGAGCCAATACTGCTACTTGGCTGTTCACTAACAGCACGGAGCACTCAGGGCCCCCCTCTTGGCCCTTCACATTCAGTACCTTTTTACAAGTGTGCAATGACACAGCTCCACCACTGCAGTATCATAGAGAATAACACTAAGAGCTGCTCACAGCGTGCAGTGTACTCAGTCAGGAAGCTGAGCAGCCAATCCCAGAGAACGGGACTGTAAGAAGCAGGGAACAGCCACCTCCTAACTTGCCTGATACCCTTGGCTTGTAGTCCATTGACTGCTAATCTGAGTGTAAAACGCCATTGTTGACCAGAGCAGCATTTTCTTAGTGGCCTTTTAGAAAAGCTGAAGCAGAAACTGGGGATAGAACACTATGTCTAACATTAGCAAAGCCTCCGTCCTTTTATAAAACAGGGTGTGGTAGAGCACGTCTTTAACCCAGCACTTGGGAGAGGGAGGCAAGAAGTTTAGGAGTTCAAAGCTATCTTCAGCTACATGGTGAGTTCAAAACTATCTGGGGCTAATTTGAGACTCTGTCTCAAAGAAAAAGATAAAGGCACTTATTGCCAACCTTGAAGACTTGAGTTGGATTCCTACTCACATGGAGACAGAAGAACCAATTCCTACAAGTTGTCCTCTGACCGACATGCATGTGCCATGGTGCATCACACACAAAAACAAGTAGAATGAAATTTAAGAATGCAGAAGCAGCCAGGCAGTGGTGGCGCATACCTTTAATCCCAGCACTCAGGAGGCAGAGGCAGGCGGATCTCTGTGAGTTTGAGGCCAGCCTGGTCTATAGAGCGAGTTTCAGCACAACCAGGGCTACACAGTAAAACCCTATTTCAAAAAAACAAAACAACGAAACCAACTGTTTGGGAAAATGACCTCCAACATCCTCATTCCAAGTGGGAGCCCTGGTGATCTGGGGATGCTCACTGACTCCTTTAGTGCTTTCCCTGGATCTAAGTGACTCCAGTCACAGTGGCATCATCTTGCAAACTTAGCTCTGACCAGTCCTGCACCCTAATGCTAAAAGCACACCTCACAGCACAAAACAAATCTCAGAGAACACTTGGTTTCGTTGATTTACCTCTGGGTGGCCCTGTGAAGAAGTGCACGCCTGTCTGAGGGTGTGAGTGACTGTAGAGCAGAAGAAGAACAAAAAGAAGCAAGTTTACTTGGACTTCTCTCTTTCTACTATTTTGCTTCTAAATGTACTCTATCATCTCTCTGCCCTGCCCTGTTCTAACGTGATTTGAGGTGCCCCGAATTTCTAATGGGGTCCCAGCCTCACAGTTCTGTTCTTCTAGATGGCACCTCATCCTGGCATGTCTGGCTTGCACGTACCGGCATCTCATGCACTGTGGGTGCTCTGCTCCCATAGGTTTGGTTACTGGTCCTGTACATGGAGACAAGCTCTTTGGTCCTGTAGGAAAAAAGACACTGTTTCCCACTCATACACATTCTAAGCCAGCAAGTCGTAACCTGGAAGAATCTTTGATTGATGGAGCTTTTTTTTTGTTTGTTTTTAAGTGATATCCCCAGAGACAACATCAATACCAATAGGGCACCCACTGTGGGCACTCTCTCCCAGCAGGCCTGATCTGACCCCTCCCCCTCAGCCATGGCCCTTGACCCTTCCAAAATAAACCCCCGCACCCAGCCAGCAAATGCTGGAGGTAGAGGCTTGGGTGGAACCTTGGTACAGACTGCCACTGCCAGGTGTATAGCTACCTGGGGGGAACAGCATCTCAGCTTCCAGACCCTGTCACCCAGCAGTCCCTCCGCTTCTGAGCCCCAACCCTTACAGAGGCCAAGCTTCAGTCAGGTGGAGAGGAGGAAGGAAATCCGGTTTGTGGAGCTGTGATCTGTGATACAGAGGCCACCAACTGGACACCACTCTACTTCTCAGTCTGAGGCCTCAGCAAGCGGTCCTCTTGCTTGTGGGGAGGGGTTGGTAGTGTGCCTGCACACTTCACAGAAGTCAAGAAAGGTTCCATCACTCCCAAGGGCACCACGCTGCCCTGTGAGGTGTACAACTTTCAGAGGAGCCTCAAAAGCGAAGAGACACCCCCCCTACACACACACACAAACACACACCCCCTCACGGCCACACACATTCACTCTTACGGTTGCTCAGACAGCAGGTCCACGACTCTCATAGTAATGGTGACACAAGAAACAAGGTCCACTTCTGGCTTCTTTTGACCTCAGCGGCCAGGCACTTGGGAGTTCACACGCATGGCCAAAGCTAGGGCCACCTGCGGCACCCTACTGCCTGGAGGAGGTAACCTCAGTCCTCACCTGTAGCCACGAAACCACCCCGGGTTGTTGAACCTGACTGGGAGCTGCTCGCTCACGCGGTAGTAGTCGCTCGTCTTCTCTGGGGCGGGCTTAGCCTTGGGCTCCACCGGCTCCGTGCACTCTTGGGGGTTTTCTTCAGACATTTGACCTCCACAGGAAAGTAGCCCCCGACTAGTAGTCAAAGCTCCGGCAGCGGCGGCAGCGTCCTGTTGCTAGGCAACAATGTCACCTGACCGGGAGGAGGGGCGGTCCTTTGTAGGCTGCTTGCCCCTGGAGCTATAGGCAAATCTAGAATCTTCCAGAAGGCGAATAACAAAGGGGACAGTGAGGAGTTCGAAGCTAGGCTGTTGCGCGAAGGAATCCCAAGCTTCATGCTGCAGCCCCTCTGGGAGTTCCGCTGGCCTTTTTCTGGGACTGCTGGGAACATCCTAGTATCATCTCAAAATGCAATAGAAAGCATATCCTGGGCAAATGAAACCTTAGGACCTGGGACTTAACCAGCAAATATGCAGGAATTAGGTGCTTCCAAACTCTACCTGAGCAAGCACTTACTGGTCTGTGGTTTACTGTACTTGCCAGGACTTCTCCGTGCCCTCTGTCACCCATGCTCCCCACAACTCAGCCTAAATTTAGACGTGAAATGTTGCTAAGTTTAGGAAATCCTCCCTGGCCAAATACTATTGAAATATAAAAAATGATCTTGTGAGCGGTGCACGTATTTATGACATAGTAGTAGTGCATTCCGCGAGGCAGATCTCTGAGTTCGAGGCCAGACTGATCTACATAGAGAGTTCTAAGCCAGCCAAGGGTACATAGTGAGACCCTGTCTCGAATAATAATAATAATAATAATAATAATAATAATAATAATAATAATAATAATACTTTTGAAACAAACAATAAAAGCCACTTGGGTCACAGTGTGGTGGTGCACACCAATAATCCCAGCACTCGAGACAGAGGAAGGCAGATCTCTGTGTCAGGCCAGTCAGGGAGACTTTGGTTCATTGTTTTTGTCATTCTTTAAAGTAATTTGGGGCTGGAGAGATGGCTCAGCAGTTAAGGGCATTTGCTCTTGCAGGAGACCTGGGTTCAACTCCCAGCACCTACAAGGTGACTCACAAACATCCTTAACTTCAGTTCCTGGGGATCAGACACCATCTTATGATCTCCACGGGCAACAGACACTCACAGGGTGCGTATACATACATGTAGGCAAAGTACTGACACACAGAATAAATAAATCTGAAGCAAATTTTAAAGAAAAAAATGCAATTAAAAACCAAACAATAAGCCAGGAGGTTGTGGCGCAAGCCTTTAATTCCAGCACTCAAGAGGCAGAGGCAAGCGGATCTCTGTGAGTTCAAGGCCAGCCTGGTCTACAGAGCTCCAGGACAACCAAGGCTTCACAGAGAAACACTGTCTCGGAAAAACAATAAAAACCGTTTTGAGGGCTGGAGAGATGGCTCAGTGGTTAAGAGCACTGGCTGCTCTTCCAGAGGTCCTGAGTTCAATTCCCAGCAACCACAGGGTGGCTCACAACCATCTATAATGAGATCTGGTGCCCTCTTCTGGCCTGCAGTCATACATGCTGTATACGTAATAAATAAATCTTTAAAAAAAAAAAAAAACATTTTGAACTAGAAGGTCGCCTCCTCCTGACCGGTTCTGAGAGAACGCTGTAATTTTACTGGGAGGAATGAGCAGTAGATGAGTGTCCACTGGTCCTGGTTCAGTCCTACCCTCCCAGCCCGGCACTGGTGGCCAGCATCAGCACAGACTTCTACAAGGTCGCGAGCAGCGGGAGCCGGCGGCGGTCCTCCACGCCTGCAGGCGGCGCTGCGGCCCCGCGCGCTCCGCGGAGGAGGCGCTCTGTTCGGCAGGAAGAGTCTCTGCGGCATGTCTGTCCACGCGCCAGCTATGGCTCCTGCTCCGGCCGTGCTGACCCGGCTGCTGTGTGCAGGTGAGCGCGGAGGATCTCCGAGACGGGAGGGACCCTGGGATCCGAGAGAGGAGGACAGGGACATGAACAGGGCGTGGCCCCACCGGCTCTCTCCCCGCAGGTGTGTGGCGCCGGCCAGGTTTCCTGCAGAAGGCGGCCCCGGGCCTGGCCGGGCTGAATGGTAGAATGGTGACGGGAGCCCAGGTCCCCGTGGTCAGCGAGCCCCAGGACGGCGACGGTAAAGGCCAGCGGCTGGAGTTGGGCGGGGGTGCAGAATCGTGGAGGGGGTGTCATTGCGGGATCCCCGAAGGAACCCTGTGCTAATCTAAGTGGGGTGGGAGGGCGAATGGCCGGCCCCCTTGTGGCCTAGTAGCTCCAGAGACCAGTGAAGACTAATTTTGGATCTGTCCACCTTGCTGGTCTCCTGGCGGGGCATTTAAGGCACCAGAAGTCAACGAGGCTCGTGTCTTTGGTTGATGGTGGTGTGCCACAGTGCCTCTCCTCCCTCCCTTTTCAGATCCCCAGAGCAGGATCCTAGATGTGCCACTGCAGCATTCGGACTTCTTCAATGTCAAGGAGCTGTTTTCCGTGAAGAGCCTCTTCGACGCCCGAGTACACCTGGGCCATAAAGCTGGTTGCCGTCATAGGTAGCTGGCACAGACAATGTGGGCAGAGCGGTGGGATCAGGTCAAGGTTGGAAGTGAGGACTCATGGGAGCGTTGACAGCAACACCAAATGCAGTGCTAGTATTGATGCTGTTCCTAGACATGGTGAAAATTGAGGGTCATTACAGGCTGGGGACCCCAGAGTTTTGGCCACCCCAGTGGAGAGGTCTTGCTGCATAGAAATGAAGTGGCCATAGAGAGTAATACTAGACAGAGTGCCCTGCCTGAGGTCCTGTTTAATGTGTAGTTGGTCCTCAAACCATAGGGGAAAGGTGAGACAGGTTGATTCACACACCCTGTGCTCACTGCTCAATACCACAACACTGTGTCCTCATCTCTCACTCACTAGACAAGGTGTAGTGGGGAGCAGTTGAGTGTAAATAGTGCCTCCTAGCCTGTAGTGCCCTCGTAGATGATCCTGAATTGCTGATGGGAGTTTGTGGAAGGAGAATGGTAGCTCTCTGAACACTGTCCCACTCGCCTTGGGGTTTTTGTTTTTTGTTTTTTTTGCAGGTTTATGGAGCCATACATCTTTGGTAACCGCCTGGGCCAAGACATCATCGACTTGGAGCAGACAGCCTCGAATCTACAGCTGGCTTTGAACTTCACGGCCCATGTGGCCTACCGCAAGGGCATCATCCTGTTTGTGAGCCGGAACCGGCAGTTCTCTCACTTGATTGAGAAGACAGCCCAGGACTGTGGGGAGTATGCCCACACCCGCTACTTCAAGGGTGGTTTGCTGACTAATGCACACCTCCTCTTTGGGCCCTCAGTCCGCCTGCCGGACCTCATCATTTTCCTGCACACGCTCAACAATGTCTTTGAACCCCATGTGGCTGTGAGGGATGCTGCCAAGATGAACATCCCCACAGTGGGCATTGTGGACACCAACTGCAACCCATGCCTCATCACTTACCCTGTCCCTGGCAATGATGACTCCCCTCAAGCTATCCATCTCTTCTGCAAGCTCTTCCGGACAGCCATCAACCGAGCCAAGGAGAAGAGGAGGCAGATGGAGGCACTGCATCGGCTGCAGAGTTCCAAGGGGTCTGAGGGCAGTGGGACGTCTTCTGTACCTGATCAGAGCCATTCCCCATGACAGGAACCCCTGCTCCCACAGTAGATAGCCAGGCCTATTCTGAGCAGGAAGCTCCTTATCCAGCCCTGACCCATTCCCCATCTTTAGCATCAGAGTCCTATATTTCCAAGATTTGGCCACCCCAGAGTCCTGAATTAAACCTTGTCTGCCTGTTTTCTGGGAACAAACACAAGTAAAATATATCCACGTGGCCTCTGGCATCTATTAAGACTTGGACATAGCTAGCCAAGTGAAAGGCACTGTTTGTCAGGAAGCCCTTGTGTCCACCTTAGAAGTAGGTCTATATCAGGTGGGTTGGTCTCTCTTTTTTCAATTAAAATTAGTAATTCATTCTCTGAAGGAAATTCTAAGCAAGACAATCCTGATGTCCCTTGGGGCCCCCAATAGTTGCCTCTAGATCTATAACCAGACTTAAAGGCTAAGCCGGCTCCTAGAGCAGAGAGAGAGAGTGTGGCCCATGAGGTGGTATACGAGGAGTAGAAAGTATAGTCCCTAAGGAGATGTATTCCACTACTAAAGAATTTAATGGGTTTGCTAAATCATTCAAGCAGAAGTCTATGTGTGGGGATGGATTTTAAGGGTGTGGGATAATGGTGGAAGGAACATAGAACTAAATTGGGCTGAGTTTATTGATATGGGCCCTCTGGAGAATATCTAGGTTTAATATGGGAATTTACACAGTTGAAGAAGGTATCAAGTTTGCTTGAAAGGTTGGCTGAAGCATTTGTCAAAAGATGGCCTACTGTAGGGAGCGCAAAGGTCCTTGTGCCCACAGATCACTGGGGAAACCAGAAATCTTAAACACACAGGATTATCTTCTCAAAGAAGGGAATGAATACCTGTTTCCCATGCAGAAGGAAGGCTGGGAGTGGATATTGTAATGACTTGATGACCTTCGCTACCTGTAGAGCCAGACCTCACCCAAATCCCTCAGAATGTTTATCCCAGACTCTCCCTCCCTAGACCTTTTTTTTTTCCCTTCTGGTTTGGTTTTGGTTTTTCAAGACAGGGTTTCTCTGTGTAGCCTTAGCTGTCCTGGAACTCACTGTGTAGACCAAACTGGCCTCAAACTCAGAGACCCGCCTGCCTCTGCCTCCCAGAGTGGTGGGGTTAAAGGCGTGTACCACCACTGCCCAGTTAGCTGTTTATCAGTCAATAGAACTCATCCTTAGGGGAGATGTCAGGTACTTTATAGCCTGGCAACCTCTGTGCTATGTGAGTCAGAGACCACACCAGATCTAGGCCCTTAAGCTATAGAAGCCATCTTCACAGTCACGTGTACTTTTGAGTTTTGATGTAATTATGACTCCTTGTACACTGGGGATTGTATTACACCAGGAGGCCTTTTTCCAACATTGTACCATGTTTAAATATGCCTACAATAAACCACCTGCTGTCAGACTATCTAGAAGTTTGAGCCAGCACCAGCTAAGTCGGGCTGAACTGAGTTTCCCTTCTTGCCTTTTAATGTTGGTTTCTCTGCAGGTCATGACACTTGCAGGGGCCCCCACAGTGTACTGAAAAGGAATTGGAGTTGCCTGACATCCGTTGGTTTAATGCTGATGAAGGGATTTTCAGGTTCAGGGAGATTTCAATGCTAGAGTGGGTATGCTTTGTAAAATCTAATCCTCCACAATGGGAAGGCCCAGAAGACATGCCCTTCACTAATCCTACAAGACAAAATGGTGAGAGGGGCACCCACACATTTAAAGAGCTTTGCTATCTCACATTTCCTTGTGCCAGCCCTTAGGAGATGCTGCTGCTCAGTTGGATGAAGTAAATGCAATAGGTTTGCTGGGTGGTCTGCCTTTAATCCCAGGACGTGGGAGGCAGAGGCAGGCAAATCTCTTGAGTTCAAGGCCAGTCTGTTCTACAGAGCAAGTTTCAGGACAGCCAAGGATACACAAAGAAACCCTGTCTTGAAAAAAGAAAAGAAAAAAAAAAAAGTTTAACTGGGCCCTGAAGTAGCATGGGCCAGTGGCAGCACTTAGTCACCAAAGGCAAAGTGAATGTAGTTATCCTAATGAGCAGAACAGACAAAACATTGACTAAGGGGTTGGGGATTTAGTTTAGTGGTAGAGCGCTTGCCTAGCAAGTACACGGCCCTGGGTTCGGTCCTCAGCTCTGAAGAAAAAAACAAACAAACATTGTCTGACCATAATGGCCTGACCTGTATGGTCAGCACAGGCCCAGTGAATTTTATGGTGGCATGATTTGGATGGATCTTTGGTACTAGCTAATCAATCACGTACTTCTAAGCATTAAATAGATAGGAAACCTACTGGATTTTTGTTTGATCTGCATAGGCAGAAAAATTCTCAAGTGAAAGAAAGGCTACATTGGATCATGGCAAAAGGGATTCTTGGCCCATGGAACCAATTTCCAGACTTGAGCCAGTTTGGAGACCCAGAATGAAGGGATGGCCAGTTTCTTTTGAGGAAGGACCTTGATAAAATACCTAAAGGTTTTACTTGTAACCTTTCCCCATTCCTTCCCCCAGAGGGTACTACAGCCTGACAGGGTAACTGCACTGCGGGCAGGAAACAGACTTTCCAGGGTCTGTTGGATACTGGTTCTGAACTGACTGTAGAGGTGGTTGTCTGCGCTTCACCCCTGAAGCACCGCCCCTAGTAGGCAGCAACGATGAGGAATTGCCTCATTAATTGCCGCTATATTGACATTGACCCCAGTAGATCCCAAGAAATACTGTGGTCCTCCAGTTAAAGTAGGGGCTTATGGAGGTCAGGTGATTAATGGAGTTTTGGATGAAGTCCAACTCACAATAGGTTCAGTTGGTCACTAAACTCATCCTGTTTTGTTTTTTTTTTCTTTTTTTTCCCCAGTCCCAGATGGTATAACTGGGATACATACACTTAGAAGTTGGCAGAATTCTTACATGGCTCCCTGACCTGTGGAGTGAGGGCTGTTACGGTTAGAAAGGCTAAATAGAAACTTTTAGAGTTGCCTCTTGTAGGGAAAATAGTGAATCAAAAACAGTATCACATCCCTGGAGGAACTGCAGATATTAGTGCCACCATCAAGGACTTGACAGATGCAGGGGTGGTGGTCCCCAACACATCTCCCTTTGACTCTCCCTCCAGCCAGTGCAGAGGACAGATGGATCATGGAGAATGACAGTGGACTATGGAAAACTCAATCCAATAACTTAATTTCATTCGCTGTACCAGATACGGTGTCCTTACTTGAGCAGATTAACATATCTCCTGGTACCTGGTATGCAGCTATTGATTCAGCAAATGCCAGCAATTTGCTTTCCGTTAGCAAGGCCAGCAGTATACCTTTACATTTTACCTCAAGGTTATATTAACTCCCCAGTCCTGTGTCATAACTTAGTTAGAAGGGAACTGATCATTGTCTCTTCCACAGAAATCACACGGGTGCACTAAGTTGATGACATTATGCTGATTGGACCGAGTAAGTCCAGCAACCACTTTGGACTCATTGGTAGCCATATGCCCATCAGAGGATGGGTAACAAATCCAACCACAATTCAAGGGCCTGCCTCTGTGAAATTCTCAGGAGGCCAGTGGTGGGGCACGTTCGGAGATATTCCTTCTAAAATAAAGAATAAGTCATTGTGCCTGGTCCCACCCACCACCCAGAAAGAAGCACAACATTTAATGGGCCTATTTGGATTCTGGAGACAGCACATTCTGCACTTGGGTGTGTTACTCCAGCCAATATACTAAGTGACTCAGAAAGCTACTCGTTCCCCTGGAACAGGGGAAGGCTCTTCAACAGGTCCAGGCTGCTGTGCAGGTTGCTCTTTCACTTGGACCATATGATCTAACAGACTTGAAATGTCAGTGGAAATAGGGATGCTGTTTGGAGCCTTTGGCAGACCCCTATAGGTGAATCACAAAAGACCATTGACATTTTGAAGCAAGGCTACGATCATCTGCAGACAACTATTCTCCCTTTGAAAGATAGCTCTTGGTCTGCTATTGGGCCTTAGTGGAAACTGAATGTAGTAGTTTGAATGAAAATAGCCCCATAGCTCATAGGTTCTGGCACTATTAGGAGGTGAGGCCTTGTTGGAGTAGGTGTGGTTTTGTTGGAGGAAGTGTGTCACTAGGAGATGGGCTTTGAGATCTCACAATGCTCAAGTCAGAGATAGGACATTCTCTGCCTGCTGCCTACAGATCCAGATGTATAACTCTCACACTGCCATGCTTCCCACCATGACAATGATGGATTAAACCTCTGAAACCGTAAGCTAGCCCCAATTAAATGTTTTCCTTTATAAGAGTTGCCACAGTCATGGTGTCTTTTCACAGCAATAAAACCCAAACTAAGATATCCCTTTGAAAGACAGCTCTTGGTCTACTATTAGGCCTTAGTGGAAACTGAACTTTTGACAATGGGCCACCAAGTCACCTTGGGACCTGAGCTGACCATCATGGGCTGAGTGTTATCTAGCCCACCAAGTCATAAAGTAGGATTGCACGGCAGCAATATATCATCAAATGGAAGTGGCATATATATGATAAGGCCCAAGCAGGTCCTGAAGGAACAAGCAAGTTACACGAAGTTGCCCAAATGTCTAGAGTTTCTACTTCCATTACAATACTGTCTGCTGCCAAGCATGCACCTAGAGCCTCATGGGGTGTTGTTCCCTATGGTCAGTTGACTGAGGAAGAGAAGACTAGGGCCTGGTTTACTGATTGTTCTGCACATTATGCAGGCACCACCCAGAGGTGGACAACTGCAGCATTACAACCCCTTTCTGGCACAACCCTGAAAGATACTAGTGAAGGGAAATGTTCACAATGGTCAGAACTTTGGGCAGTGCACATAGCCACACATTTGTGAAAGGAGAAATGGCCAGGTGTGTGATTTTTAGATTCATGGGTGGTAGCCAATAGATTGGCTGGATGGTCAGGGACTTGGAAAGAGCATGATTGGAAAAATGGTGAGAAAGACATCTGGGGAAGAAGTTGTGGATAGATCTCTCCAAATGGGCAAAGGATGTGAAGATACTTGTGCCCCATTTAAATGCTCATCAAGAGGTGACTTCAGCTGAGGAGGAGTTCAGGAATCAAGTAGATAGGATGACCCATTCTGTGGACAGTCAGCCTCTTTCCCTGGCCATCCCTGTCATTGCCCAATGTGCCCATGAACAAAGTGGCCATGGTGGCAGAGATGGGGGTTAGTCATGGGCTCAACAACATGGACTTCCACTTACCAAGGCTGACCTGGCTACAGCTTCTGCTGAGTGCCAGATCTGCCATCAGCAGAGACCAACACTGAGCCACAGATATGACATCATTCCTGGGGTGACCAGCCAGTGACCTGGTGGTAGGATGACTATACTGGACCACTTCCTCCGTGGAAAGGACAGTGCTTTGTCCTTACTGGAGTAGATACTTATTCTAGTTATGGATCTGCCTTTCCTGTACATAATGCTTCTGCCAAAACCACCATCCACGGACTTACAGAATGTCTTACCCACTGTCATGGTATTCCACACAGTATTTCTTCTAACCAGGGAACTCACTTTACAGCCAGAGAAGTGCAAGAGTGGACCTACGATCATGGAACCCACTGGTCTTACCATGTTCCCCACCATATTGGTGCAGCTGGACTGATAGAAAGATGGAATGTGCTTTTGAAGACACAATTACAGTACCAATTAGGTGGCAGCAGCCTGGAGTGCTGGGGCAGAGTTCTGTAGAAGGCAGTATATGCTTTGACTCACCGTCCAAAATACAGTGCAGTTTCTTTCATAGCCAGAATCCATGGGTCCAGGAACCAAGGAGTGGAAAAGGGAAGAGTTCCACTATCACCTCTAGTGACCCACTAGGGAAATTTTCCCTTCCTGTTCCCATCACTATTGGTGAAATTATTAAGGCCACTCCACGTAGTTAAAAGGGAGATTTATTTAATGGCATAACTTACAAATGAAGGGATAGGTAGGTCGTGGGTTCTGGGAAAGACGCAGTGCAGTCCGGTGGTGTTCTCTGGAGAACTCTCCTCGGTCTACCTCTAGCGTCCCGGGTCCAAACAGGAAGAGAGCGCGGCGCATCCCGATCTCGGGTCTTCAGGGCCTTCCCTTGGCCCCGCCTTGTAAGCATGATAGTGACCGAAGCCTCAATGGGGGTTGGAACTTACAGACCAAAGATGGAATGGATACCCACTACATCTCCCCTTTTTTGTCTAAATAAGAAGGTTCTAACTTAATACAAGACTATATACAAAGGAATGGTTATCAAATATTGTCTAGGAGTAATGAGGGATAATGACCTAGATAAGATGGAACTACAATCAATGCAAACAATATCAAGCAAGAAACACATACTAAAATCCAGAGAAGTCTAGAGTGTAGGTAAATGACATGTTACAAAGATCATTCCAAAAGGTGTCCTATCCTAAAGAACCTGAATCTAATACTTAATATGTTCTATCTAAGAT